AAAAAAAAAAAAGAAAAGAAAAGAAAAGAAAAAAAAGCATATTAAGGGAATTCAAGTTTTTACTCCCACATTCCAAGAAGCTTTGGCTTTCTTGAAATGTGGGGGAAAAATTTGACATTTGCACATTTATAGGAACCCATTATCAACTCTACATTTAAGGAACAAGAATAATTTATAGTGTAAAAAGAAATAAACTTTTCGTATAATTTTACCTTGAAATTTAATTCTAATTATTTGAAAGTTGGTAAACTATGTATAAACTCTTAGTATCTAAAAACTTGATAAACTAGAAAATACCATTTCTTTGCTCATGCTGGAAAATAACGAGTTTGTTATATTCATTTAAATGGAAATTTGGCTTGGACAACGACAGAAATCATGTTTAACTGACATTTGGAAGATAAAATACCTGAGACACTTTATCCTTGCTTCATTATATAGAACTACAGAAAATCTGAACAATGACTATAATAAACTATGAATTTAAACAAATCGTGAACCTACTGTTGCCTGCTTGTGCAAATCCAATAGTTCGCGCACGTGACTCCGAAGCATGTTCTGACACTTCCACATTTCGTTGAGAGCTCTGTGAAGTTATGAATATAAAAATATATATAATATTGCAAACTATTCAACTTTATAACTTTTCTTGTTGCATGGTATATTTACACGATTTTTCTATTATACATCTGCCTAAAATTTTAAGTACCAAGAAATTTATTTATTAGGACTTAAGACAGTTTAGTATAAATGGTAAATATACGGCTTATGAGAAAAAATATTTGAGAAGTTTAGCAGGATTAATAGGATTCTACCAGGCAACAAAGGGACTGAAAGCTGTTCTAAACAAAGATAGCTAGAAAGTTCTGGTACAAGGAAAGATCAAATGTCATCAAAGTACATGGCACATATAGGAAACTGAAAAACACTTATCTGCTTGGAGCCTGGCGCATGAGTGAGGAGCAAAAGGGAGCTGCAGCATACCACAGAGGACTAGATCACCAAGGCCTTACTCTGCCAGGCTAAGGAGTATATGTGAAGGGCGGCAGACTATTTTAAAAAACTGAAATGTCTTAGAAATGATGTAGATTCAAATGCCAAATTTAAATTGACTGTGATTATTCTAGACTCGACTCTTTCTGCAAACACAGATTTTCTTCTCTCACAAATCCCCTCCATACTACTAGGTACCCAGAGCACCTCTGAGAAATTACTCTGAGTACTCTTTACCAGATATTTTGAAATATAAACAAATAACAAAACCTTAAGCCAAGAGTTTTACTACCTGGAGTTAGCATTAGTAACCACTTGTAAGGTTTTTAAAAATGATGGCTAATGCCTCCTGATACAATGCACCAAGGATATAATATTACTTTGGTGAAATTTCTGCCCCAAATGTATAATTTATTAATGAGGAAACACTGGAGAAGCCAAAATGAGGCCACATTCTGCAAAATAATTGGCCCATACAATACTTCTCTAAAAAAAGAAAAAAATCAAAGTCACAAATGACAAAGATTAAGGAATAGTTCCAGATTAAGAAACTAGACACACAACAACTAAGCATGTAATGTGTAATTCCAGATTGAGGAAAAAAATACCTATAACAAACATTACACGAACAACTGAGGAGATGTGAATATTCTTTCATTATTAAATTTCCTGATTTTGATCAGGATACTTGGGTTATTTAAGAGAATATCCTTGTTCTTAATGAATCAATATTGTAAGTATTCTTGGGTTAAAGGGATCTACATGTCTGTAAATTACTCTAAAATGTTTCAGAAGAAAATCTATAAAAAGAGAAAGAAGGTACAACAGCACATAGTTAAAAAATGATGAATCCATGTAAAGTGGATATCACAATGCTTTGTACTATTCCTGCAACTATTCTGTAAATTTGAAATTATATGAAAATTAGTTTTACATATATATAACACCACTAAAATCTTAACTCAGCAAATTCAGAATTCTTAGTTATAGGACTCATTTACTTTGCATGTTTTTAATTGACGAGTAAAAATTGTATGTATTTATGGTATACAATATGCTATGATTTGCGTATACACTGTAACATTTATTTTCTAAAAAGCCTATTAGAGTAGAGTGACTATACATCCTGGTTGGCCTGGGTGGTTTGTTTATGTCAGTTGTCCAGCTAAATTATTAATAGTGGTATTTTTCAGTCTCAAAAATATCCCAGTTGGTCAATTAAATCACATGGTCATCCTACATAGAGGTGATCTAAATATGTTCTCATGACAAAGAAACAGTACTGAGCTCCTAGGCTTAGTACTTAGTCTGGAAGGATAAAGCACCAGTAGTTTAATTTACACACCCATCACAGATATTTTGACATGGTGATTTTTTTAACCCCTGAAACCATATTACTGACCCAGTTGCCAAATGTGCCTGTGCATATTTTTGCTGTTAATTGAC